CAAATCCCCGTTCGTCTCCATGGATAACCCCAAATTCCCCCTTTCCCTATGGATAACCCCAAATTCCTCCTCCTCCCCTATGGATAACCCCAAATCCCACCACATTTCCCCTCCTCCCTTACAGATAACCCCAAATTTTCCCTCTCTCCCTATGGAAAACCCCAAATCCCTCCACATTCCCCCTCTTTCCCCATGGATAACCCCAAATCCCCCCCCTTTCCCTACAGATGACCCCAATACCCAACCCACCCCCACCAACCGCGGTTCCCTTCGGCACCCTTTAAGGGAATGGGATTTTTCAATACCCCGCACACCAAAAGATGCGGGGCGGCTGAAGCGGGACGTTGTTGCGGTTATGGGGCGGAGTTTTGGGGTCACCTCTAGAGGGCTCCGCTCGGATCCCATAGCAAAGCTTCCGGAGCAGCGCTGCGTTCTCCTCCATTGTGGGGTCCGGGAGGGGGGGGGATCCGCGCCCTATAAGATGCGTTTTCCCAATGGATGGATTTGATTCCAGGTACCCTGGAGGGGGGGGGGGGGAGGGGGGGGAAGGAAGGAGGGATCGCAACGCACCGCGTTCGGCTTTGGGGTCGTTCCCCCGTAAACGGTACGCTGGGAAAATGGGGTCGAGGGGGGGGGGAAATGGGGGAAGGTTTTGGGGTGGTGGGATGCGATGGGGTGGGAAACGCGCGGCTGATTCTCAGCCCCCTCCCCAAACGCTTTGCAGCAAATGCTCCGATTTGTTGTGTTTTTCCCCCCCAAAATATGGCTGGTTGGGACCCCCCCACACCCCCCTTGTAGGGTTGGGGGATTCTGGGGGCCCCCTCTTGTAGGGTTGAGGGATCCATCCTGACCTAGAGAAGAAATACGGGCTAAAAATCCCGCATTCTGGCTCTGCCCACCCCCCCCCCGTGCAGAAAAGAAGCGATAAATCCAGCCCCTGATTTTGGGGTCATTTCCCACCCCCCCTTTTAGGGGTTTCCCTTCCCTGTAGGGGATGCCCTGCCTGCCATGGAGCCCTGCGTGCTGCTGGACAAGGCGCTGTACCGGGACGTGATGCAGGAGAGCTACGAGACGCTGATGTCCATCGGTAACACCGACCCCAAACCCTGTCGTTTTCCCCCCCATTTCCCAACCTTTGGGGTGCCCCGTTTTTAGGGGAGGCTGGTGGCCGGGAGGGGATTTCACCAGATCCTGGCATTTTCTCTGATTTTTTTTTTTTTGGGGGGGGGGGGGGGGGGGGGGGTACCCCATTGTTACGCTCCCATCCTTTGGGTGCTGCATCCGCCGCAGGTTTGGGGTTGACCCCGTGCCATCCATCCGAGTCCCGACCCCATCCATCCCTATCCCTACCCCGTCCCATCCATCCCTATCCCAACCCCCTCCCATCCATCCCAGCCCCATGTTGACCCCCCATCTCTTGCAGCTCAGGGCTTGGTGAACCACAAAGCAGCAGAGGAGGATGCTGTGGGGCTGGCGGAGGTCTCTATGGGGTCAGAGGAGCCCCCGATGCGCCCGCCCCATAACCCAGCACAGAACCGATCGCTGGGATCCAACAGGCGGAAAGCGAAGCGCCCTGACAAAGCCGTCCCTATTGGGGTCACGCAGACACCCCACACCACCCCGACCCCAAAAGCCAATGGGGTGAAGCTGTCCCAGGTTCGGAACCGTCCGTTCGGCTGCCCCGATTGCGGCAAATCCTTCCCGTGGGCGTCGCATTTGGAGCGGCACCGGAGGGTCCATACGGGCGAGCGGCCCTACAGCTGCCCCGAATGCGGGGAATCCTACAGCCAAAGCTCCCACCTCCTCCAGCACCGCCGGACCCACAGCAGCGACCGACCCCACAAATGCCAGCATTGTGGCAAACGTTTCGCCGGCGCCGCCGAACTCATTGCGCACAGCCGGGGCCACGCGGCCGAAAAACCCCATAAGTGCGGGGACTGTGGGAAGGGTTTCGTTTGGGCGTCCCACCTGGAGAGGCACCGCCGCGTGCACACGGGGGAGAAACCCTACGAGTGTCCCGAGTGCGGGGAGGCGTTCAGCCAGGGGTCCCACCTCGCCAAGCACCGCCGCAGCCACACGGGCGAGCGGCCGCACCGCTGCTCCGCCTGCGGGAAATGCTTCGGCCAAAGCTCCGAGCTCAGCCGGCACCGCCGCAGCCACGTGGGGAAGAAACCTCAGCGTTGTGCCGATTGTGGGAAAGCTTTTCGTGCCACCCCGGCTCTCCTGAGGCATCAACGGTGTCACCGGAGGGAGCGCAGCCATCGCTGCGGGGATTGCGGGAAGGGTTTCGCCTGGGCATCCCACCTGCAGCGGCACCGGCGGGTGCACACCGGGGAGCGGCCGTTCCCCTGCGGGCTGTGCGGGGAGAGCTTCTCGCAGAAAGCCCATCTGCTGCAGCACGGCAAGACGCATCTCCCCGACCGGCCCTATAAGTGTGGGGACTGCGGGAAGCGCTTCGAGGACGCGCCGCCTTTCCTGGCGCATCGGCGCGGCCACACGGCCATAAAAAGCTTCACTTGTGGGGACTGCGGGAAGGGCTTCGCATGGGCGTCCCACCTGGAGAGGCACCGCCGGGTGCACACGGGGGAGAAGCCCTATGAGTGCCCTGAGTGTGGGGAAGCGTTCAGCCAGGGGTCCCATCTCACCAAGCACCGCCGCAGCCACGGCCCCAAAACGGCTTTGGTCCTCGTGGAGGAAGGGGTTGAGGAGGGAGAGACCCTCTGTGCGGCCCCGATGAGTTATGGGGCCATGGAGAACCTGCAGCGGTGATGGGAGGTCGGTGATGGTGAGATCAGCAGGGTGGGATGGAGGAGGAGGAGGCGGTGGGATGGAGGAGGAGGAGGCGGTGGGATGGAGGAGGAGGAGGTGGGATGGGGAGCAAACAGAGCAGTGCTTTGGGGATGGAGACCCCATTCCTGGGTCAGCTCAGACCTTCCCATGTGGGGATGCTGATGCTGCGGGTTGGGGTGGTGACCTGGGTGCCAGAACCCCACAGTCTGTGCCTGGTTCTCATTGCTGTCGGGTTGGTTCGTCGGGGATGCTGTGGGGAAAGCAAGCGTGGCAAATAAAGGAGCGTTGTGCCCCATAGCTGCTGGCTTTGGGGCTCCTGGGGCTGAGTCCTTGAGCCCCGTGGTGGGAAATGTGCGTGGATCCCGCAGGATGAGCACGGGGACGTGTCCTGTAGGGTGGGAGCTGGGCCTGCTGTGCCCCACTGTGTCATTTGTCGGACAAAAAGACGCACAAAAAAGGTATTTTTGGTGAAGTTCTGTTTATTGGGTTACCGTCCCGTCAGCCCAAACCCACAGCCCGACCTGAGCAGTGTTTGGGGGAGGGGAGGGGTCCTTGGGGTGTTTCTGAGCCATTCATCCCCACAATCCTCCTCCATTCCCCCAAGGGATCCCGTGCACCCAACCCCACGTTGTGGGGCAGAGGATGGGGAGAGCTATGGGATGAAGTTTCCCTTCACCATGCTTGGTGGCCACGCTTGGTGACCCCCCTCAGCCCCAACCCACACCCCCCCACCCACCCCATTCCATACTGACCCCCACCCTGACAGCATCCCGGACCCCAAAACATCCCCTTAACACCCAGCATGGAGGAGGGGGGCAACCCCTCCCCACTCCAGCTGCAGGGTGACCCCAAAGATGCAAGGTTGGCTCTGAGCCCCCCCCACAAATCCCCACCCCTACCTCAGGAGCTGGGGGGCGGCGCTCAGGGCTGCTATGGGGCAGGGGAGGAAGGCAGCAGGGAAGCAGGGCTGTGTTCCCTCACCCCATGCAGTGGGGATGGCCGGGATGCTTCTCCATATGGGCACGCTGGTGCCGGTTGCGGTGCGAGCTGCGCCCGAAGCGTTTCCCACATTGGGCACAAGAAAAAGGTTTCTCACCTGTATGGGTGAGCCGGTGCCGGTCGTAATGGGAGCTCCAAGCAAAGCCCTTCCCACACAGCCCACACTGGTAGGGTTTTTCCCCACGGTGCAGCCGTCGGTGCCTCTCCAGGTGGGAGCTGACGGCGAACGCCCGCCCGCATTCCCCACAGTGGAATGGTTTTTCCCCAGTATGGACGCGACGGTGCCGTTCCAAATGGGAGAGCCAAGCAAAGGTCTTTCCGCACGCCCTGCACGGGAATGGCTTGGTGGTGGGTTCCTCGGTGCGTGGTTTGGGGTGGGTCTGTTGGTGTTTGGTCAATGCTGAGCTCCGTTGGAAGCGATGCTCGCAATGGGGACGCGTGTGGGGCTGCTCGGTGGGGTGGATGCAACGGTGTTTGGGGTTGGAGCTCTGCGTGAGGGATGTGCTGCACTGTTTGCGTGGGTATGGGGCCATGGAGGGCCTGTCCTCATCCCCAGCTGGGGATATTGGGGTGATGGGAGACCCATCCTCATCTCCAATTGGTGATGTTGGGGTGATGGAGGACCTGTCTTCATCCTCAGTTGATGCTGGGGTGATGGAGGGCCCATCCTCATCCTCAGTTGGGAATACTGGGGTGAGGGAAGACCCATCCTCATCCCCAGCTGGTGATGTTGGGGTGACAGGGGGCCCATCTCCATTTGGTGATGTTGGGGTGATGGAAGACCCATCCTCATCTCCATTTGGTGACGTTGGGGTGACAGAGGGCCCATCTCCATTTGGTGATGTTGGGGTGATGGAAGGCCCATCCTCATCTCCATTTGGTGACGTTGGGGTGACAGAGGGCCCATCTCCATTTGGTGACGTTGGGGTGACAGGGGGCCCATCTCCATTTGGTGATGTTGGGGTGATGGAAGACCCATCCTCATCTCCAATTGGTGATGTTGGGGTGACAGAGGACCCATCTCCATCCCAGGTCGGTGACGTTTGGGTCCCCTTATGCTTGAAGCGCTGTGGGTCCGTCTGGTGGTTGAGCCGCTTCCCGCAATCTGCGCATTTTTGGGGTGGAGGAGGAAGGTCTTCATCCTCCCCACTCTCCTCCTCCTCCTCCTCCTCTTCCTCCACCATCGCGTGGGTGCGCATATGGCGGTCAAGGTGGGAGCTCCATGCGAACGCCCGCCCGCATTGGCCGCATCGGAAGGGTTTCTCACCGGTGTGAATGCGCCGATGCCGCTCCAAATGGGAACTCCATGCAAAAGCCTTCCCGCAGACCCCGCACTCGTAGGGTTTCCCACCCAAATGACTCTTACGGTGCCGATCCAGAGCCGCCGCTTCGGCGAAGCTGCGTCCGCACTCGGGGCACCGGTTGGGTTTCTCCCCAGCAGGAACGTGGGTGCGTTGGTGGGTGAGCAGCGAGGAGCTGACGCTGAAACGCCGCCCGCAGTCGGGGCACGCGTAGGGCCGCTCACCCGTGTGCACACGTTGGTGGATGGTGAGGTCGGAACGTTGGATGAAGGCTTTGCCACATTGGGGGCATTCGTGAGGGCGGTTGCCGGAGTGGATTTTTTGGTGTTTGACCAGGGCTGATTTGTGGCTGAAGCTCTTCCCGCATTCAGCACACACGGTACGAGGTTGGGTTTGGGGAAGGTGCGGTGGTTCCCTGCTCTTCCGTCTCGTAGGGCTGCAGGGAGGACCCTCTTCTGTGGGTTTGGTTGCTTTGGGGTCCTCTTGAGGGGGTTCCTGCACTGCTCCGTTGTCTGTAGGGCAGAGAGAGGGGCAGATGTGAGTGATGGCAAAGCCAAGGCTGGGGTTGGCCACGGGGGATGTTTCATTTTGGGGTGAACCCAACGCCACAGGGGATGTTTCATTTTGGGGTGAACTCAAGGCCATGGGGGATGTTTCATTTTGGGGTGGTGGCCAACCCAAGGCCATGGGTGATGTTTCATTTTGGGGTGAACCCAACGTCATGGAGGATGTTTCATTTTGGGGTGAACCCAAGGCCATGGGGGATGTTTCATTTTGGGGTGAACCCAAGGCCATGGGGGATGTTCCATTTTGGGGTGATGGTCAACCCCATGATGACAGAGGTGTGATGTGGGGCTCACCTCCCAGCAGGGTGTCCTTGGGGACGTGGAGATGCAGGGCTGTGGGTTCATCCCTGTGGGACAGCGGGTTGTGTTTGGAAATGGGGAATTCTGGAAATAAAAGAGAAGGGAATAAGATGGGTCAGCAGATTCTGCCCTCCCCAGGAGTCCCCCAGTGTGTGAGGGTGAGGAGATCCAGAGAGGCAGACCCAGCACACACACCCAAATTTTCCCCATTATTCGGAGGGGAGGAGAACTGGGAGCATGAGGACACCTCAGTGACCCCATTTCCAATCAGATAAAATGCAGAGTGATCCTCAAAAGCAGGGGATTTCCCCTAAAAACAGAAATGGGCGCCGTGGGATTCCCCTAAAAATGGGTTGCCCCAAAGGTTGGGAGCATGGGAACAAAATGGAGTGGGATTCTCCTAAAAACGGGGAGCCCCAAAGGCTGGGAGCATGGAAATGGGGGCGAAAACAGAGGATTTGGGGTCGGTGTTACCAAGGGACATCAGTGTCTCGTAGCTCTCCTGCATCACATCCCGGTACAGCGCTCTCTGCCGTGGGTCCAGCAGCACGTAGGGCTCCATGTCACCCTACAGAGAGGAGGAGACACTCCGTGGATCTGGAAATAGGATCCTTCGTGTCAAATCAGGTGTCCCAGAACCTTCCTGTCCCAAAATTCCCAGAAATTCTCCCCCAAAACCCCCAGCAGTCAGACCACAAAGAGCATAAAGTCCCCAATTATTCCTCCCCTAAAACCCACAAATTTTAGGCACTTTGCACCAACCCTAAACATTTTTTGGGGGGGAATTGTGACTTCTTGCAGCTGGAAGAGCCAAATTTGGCACTTTTTGCTGCAAAATCATTGGGAAAAAGAATTCCCCCCCTGCTTTCCCCAATCCTTTTGCTCACCCCCCTCCGCGGGCAGCATTTAGGATCGTGCTGAATCCCTGTTTTCCAGCAGCACGGGATGGAGAAGGGAGGACTGGGAGGGAGAGAGGAAAGGATTTAGGGCAGGAAGAGCTGATAGGAAAGGATTTAGGGCAGGACTTACCGATTTGAGGACAAAAAGGGCGATTTGGGGCTCACACCGTGGATCCCCCTTATTTTTTTTCCTGTGCATTTCATCCCATTTTCCTCATTTTCCAGCTAAAATAAAAGCAACAAAAGGGGGATCAGCCCCACCAGAAGCCCACCCCATAAAGCAGAACAATGGGAAGAACGGGCGGAGGGACAGAGGACCAAGGAATGGCTCTTTTTGTTGGGTTTTGGGGTTTATCATGGGGGAAGGACGGACAGAAGTACAATGGGAACGGATCTTTTTGTTCAATTTAGGGGGGTTTTTAAAGGGGGAAGGACAGGCAGAGGGACAGAAGGACAGCGGGGGTGGCTTTTTAAATCGGGTTTTGGGGGTTTTTAAAGGGGGATGGAGAATGGAAACAGCTTTTTTGTTGGGTTTTGGGGATTTTAAAGGGGGAAATCTGGACAGAAGGACAACGGGGACGGCTCTTTCTGTCGGGTTTGGGGATTTTGAAGGGGGAGGAGAGCAGAGCTGGTGGTGTAGAGGGGGCAAGAAGGAAAAGGGATGTGGATGAAGCCATTTTGGGGCTCTTTTTGGGTCCAGGACCCCATTACCTGCGCTCTGCTGGCTGGGAGGTGTTGGGGGCGATGCCTGGCGGTGCCCCATTTCGTTGTTTGGGGGACAAAAATCCGTCTTTTTCACCCCAAAACGCAGCAGAAAGGGGCAGAGGGCCGTGAGGGGTCTGACCCTTCCGGCAGCTCAGGAAAGGAAGAGTTAAATTTAAAGAAAAAGGGGGAAAAAAGGGGGGAGGAAGGACTTTAAAAAGGGAAAAGAGCTGCGCTCGGTGCCACGGCCCTCTGGCGGCGGGACGGGCAGAAATGGGAGAAAAATAATTGTTTAAAAAGCACCTTTTGGGCGACAGAAATGCACTTTTTGGGTGACAAAGCCGTCAAGCACCGCTTTAGGGCCAAAAACCGAAATTTGGAGGTGGGGGGTTGGGATTTTAGGGCATTTTATTGAACGTGGATGGAGAGGGCTGTGGGGAGGGTCTGTGTTTGGGGTGAAAATGGGGTTTTTCGGTCAATAGGGACCGTTCCCCGTGTACCAGGCAGCCAGGAGCACCGCGCAGATGTATTTAAGAGCCCTTTGAGGGTTTGGGGGATCTGAAAATGTCCCTAAAAATGACCCTTCCCCCCCCACCTTGGGGCCCTCGCATCCCACATAGCTACGGGCTGCCCTCAACAAAGATGGACGCCACGGCTTCATCCTCTCGAGGCCATCTTGAGCCAGGCCGTCCTCACAGCGCGGGGGAAGCAGCGGCCATCTCGGTCCGCTCGCCCCAACGCCTTCGTACCGATACGGAGGGAGAGGGGGCAGGGGTATCTTCTTCTCGTGAGGTGCTTGAAGCCGAAGCCGCCATTTTGGAAACGGGCGAAGCGCCGCCATTTTGGAAGCGGGCGCGGAGCCGCCATTTTGAATGTGGGGCGTAGCCGCCATTTTGGAAGCGGGCACCGCCCCTCTGCGGCTCTGCTCGGCCGCAAATCCCGAATCCGCCGTTTTTCACCCCAAATTCTGCCCGAAAGCGACCTCTCCGGCAAGTATTTCCCCCGCAGAGCAAGTGTCACAATCCCCAAAACCCCTTTAGGACCCCCACACACCCCCCTATACAGCCCCCCCCAAACCGGCTCTCAATGGAGGACTCTGCGCACGCGCATTGCGCTCCCCGCGCTCCCCGCCCACACTCCACGCATGCGCACACGAGCCCCGCACACAGCACGCATGCGCACTCCCCCCGTCTACCCCAGCGAAAGCGGGCTGTGCCGCGCACGGCGCATGCGTAACCCCGCCCCCTTCCACACTGCGCGTGCGCAGCCGCCCGCTCCGCACCGCGCAGGCGTGGCCCCGCCCCTTCCGGCCGTCAGTCGGGGCGGAGGCGCGGAGCAGTGCGGATCTCTCCGCGCAGCTCCGAGAGGCAATGGAGGCCCCGCCCGCTCCCCCCGCCGTACCGCCCGCTCCTTGCAGCGCCGCTCGGAGCCTTCAGGACGAGCTCACCTGCCCGGTGTGCTTGGAATACTTCACCGATCCGGTGCTGGTGGCGGAATGCGGCCATAATTTCTGCCGGGCCTGCGTGACGCAGTGCTGGGAGGACTCCGCGCGGCGGCTCTGCTGCCCGCAGTGCCGCGAACCGGTCCCGCAGCGGCTCTTCCGCCCCAACCGCTCCCTCGGGAACATCGTCCACATCGTCCGGCAGCTCGGCTTGCCTCCCGGCCCCGCCGATCCCCCTCCGGGTCCCCCCGCCCCCGCTCCTCCTCTCCCAGCGGCCGTTCCTCCGGTTCCGCCGGGTCCTCCCCGCTGTCCCCGTCACGGCGAACCGCTGCGGTTGTTTTGCGTTCAGGACCGGAGGGCGGTTTGCGTTGTGTGTCACCTCTCACGGGAACACCGCACTCACACCGTGCTGCCCGCCGAGGAGGCGGCCCACGCGGCGGAGGTGAGCCGGGGGGTGGGGAGGGGGAACGGGGCAGTAGGGAAACCCCCCCCGTCTTGGGGTCTGCGGGAATAAAGGGGGGGTGGTGCATTAAAGGGGCACTGGGAACACGTGGATGGGGATGTAAGGACCCA